AAGATTCCCCGTGTTGTGACCCGTTGCTAGGAGTTCGTCTCACGCGTTCGTTACTTTCTTTTCTTAAATTTTTACCGGTGTTGGTTTCCCCTTCTTCAAATAAACTTTCGTCAAAAATGTTAAACGGAAATTCGCGTTCGGCTTTCCCGTGAGTATATGATTCGGAGTCGCTCTCTCCTGAATAATATGCTTCTAATTTTATCCGCACTTTTCCGAGGTTTTCTAAGGTTATCGGTAGTGCTTTGATTGATCGTGCGGCTGAGTCGCTATGTAACCACGAATTATTCGCTATTGCTTGTCGGGGTGTTTCGCTTTCCTCCGACATTCATGCAGTATGTATAAAAGTTTGGTTCGGACTTACATTAATGTTACTATCGCTCGCTTGCTGACGCTGCAGATCATCGCTCGGCAGTGTTGATACGGCTGGCGGTCCGGTGTCGTAAGGTGATCCTGCGGGTCGCTGTACGGTGCGATGCGTTGTCCGTGTTGTCGTAGGTCGCGTCCTTAGGTGATGGCCTACTTCCCGACGGCTGATGCGTTGTCCGTGTGTGTGTGTCTTTTTGTACGTACGGCACGCTGCTGCTTATACGTCGGCTTCTGTTTTGTTTGTTTCCCGTCGATTATTATGTTCGACGTGCCTGATTATTAATACTGCTGTATTTTTCAGGTCTTCCTCCGAGTAGTTCCTGACGGTCCTTCGGCGCAATCCCACCGCTGCCACCAAATTGTTGTGTGCCTCGGGAGAGACACTTAAGGGTCGCGCCAAATTGGGATGGGAATCCGGGGCGTCAGGACTTGTCGGGTGTTTGTAGAGAAATGCACTACACTTTTTGTATTAAAATTCTTTATTCAATTTCAACCACTTGGTCTTTATTTTATTTCACTATCAATACACTGAGGCTTTACGAGTGTGCGGCACTGACTTTATATTACTCCGCGTATCGCGCACAACTGCGAGTCGATGCTAAGTGCGCGCGCGGTTAGCGAGATCGTGGTTAGAGCGATTATTTGTGTCTGCGACTGAGCGAGTTGTCGCGTCTCTACTCTCTTTTTATATCGTTGTTTTTGGAGTTTTCCCGATCGGAAGGGGTGCCTGGCAACAGGTTTCCCCGGTCGAGAATCTAGGTGCAAGCGAAGCAGATTCAAAGTCCTTCTGCTTTGCTTGCACGTTGACCAATTTCTGTTCCGCGTATATCTCGCATTGTATGCGTTTTTAACGCGGTCATTATCTGTCGTAATTCTGATTTCGCGTATACCTCGCATTGTATGCGTTTTTAACGCGGTCATTATCTGTCGTAATTCTGATTTTGCGTATACCTCGCATCGTATGCGTTTTTTAACGCGGTCATTAGCTGTCGTAATTCCGATTCCGCGTATACCTCGCATCGTATGCGTTTTTTAACGCGGTCAGTGTCTGTCGTAATTGCAGATGCAATACGAGTACCCATTTCTTAATATTAGTTACTCTTTTAACAGTTATATCTATTGTATATCTTTGGGGGATATAACAGTAATTTGTCGCTTACTAATTAATTATTCTCCGGAATATTAGCTTCGAGAGTACGGAAGCGTTACTCGAGACCGGATATCGAGCATAAAAATAAAAGCGATTAAATTCGAGCTTAAAAGTAAAAGCAATATAACAGTACTTTATATAATTTATATAATTTATATAATTTATATTCAATTTTACAATTTTCTTTTTTTCTTTAGTACAAAAAGGCGGTGGAGCGAGCAACACTGCAGAAAATCGCAACGATATTTTCCTGGAGACGGAGGAGGGTAAAGAGGAGGGTGAAGAGGAAGAGCATCGACACCAGCAACATCAGCAACAACAGCAATATCATCAATATTGGCAGGTCGATGATCGATTTAATTATATACATTTAATTAGGAAAAACGCGCGGCAGTTTAGAAGATTCGGGATAGTCGGGAGAAAAGCGAGTTTCGCGATTCGACAGTTACCTGAAGGCGGGGATATTTACCGGTCTTTGGAAAATGCGTTTCGCGAAATTCACGCGTATGCAATAAATTCGAGTGAACCGGGAGATTACGTAGGTTTATCATTCGATTCGCCGAATTTATCGCATGGCCCCGCGAGATTATCCTTTCGTCCGGTGCGCGATTTGACTCACGAAGATATTCGGGGCCTCGTGACCGCGGTAGCACAGAGTGCGGGAGGACTTGATATCGCGGAGCAGTTTAACATACGCATTTTCAACATCGCTGTTCCTTCAGGTCGCGGCCGCGTTGCATTAACGCAAGAAAATATCGCAAAACGCTCAATAGTCGAAATAAATAATTTCGACAACTTGTGTTTTCCGCGCTCCCTCGTAGTAACGCAAACTTATTGCGAATGCGGTAATATACGGGGGAATTGCACGAGAAATGGAATAAAGTAAGACACCCGCAATCGAAATTACAACGCGAATGGGCGTTGAAATTAACTAGAAAAGCCGGAGTAATAATTCTCAAAGAAAGTTGCGGGATTCATGAAATTGAGCGTTTTTAGCGATATCTCGCCGCGGTCAATGTCGCTATTGTTGTATATAATTTTATTACTTTCGGTCACGGCGCGAAACCGTACTATGACGGTACAGCGATACTCGCTTTTCTCGGGCGTGAATCCTTTTATCGACTAAATATTATGTATTATGAGAATTCACGCCATTTTAACCCTATATTAAATTTAAAAGCCGCTGCGGGTTCTCGTAATTTTTGTGTAACGTGTAATGTAGACTTCCGGAACGATAAAGGTGGCGGTCACCGGTGCTCGAATAAATGTTCGCGATGTTTTACCGCGCCACCGTGCAAACACTCCGACGACGCGCGAATAATAAAATGTGACGCGTGCGATCGGACGTTTTTCGGTGCTTTGTGTTTCGAGCGTCATCGTAGGGAAAAATCTTATGACGGTAAATCGCTCACGAGTGTTTGTAGCGTCATACAATTTTGCAATAAATGCGGATGTATAATTAAAGCGAAAGCGAAGCACGAATGTGGCGTTTCTTACTGCAGATTATGCCATTCGGAGCAACCTCGAAATCATTTGTGTTATATGAGACCTTTTCACAACGACGTTAATTCTTCTACCGAGCCGTCGTCGTCGACACATCCTCCGGAGGTAGAAGCGACGACAGTGACGGTAGATGTATCCGTCGAGGAAAAAAAAAGCATAATTGATAACAAAGAAGTGAGCAAATCGGCATTAACAGATAGAAAGAACGCGTAGCATTCGTGTTTTATGATTTTGAAACACGGCAGGACAAGACGCTCGAAGGTACGACGTCCGTAAAAAGACACATCCCGACACTTTGCATCGCGCATCAAATTTGCGAAGCGTGCGCGCAAAACAATGATATCTCCGTGCGTTGTTGCGAAACCATGAAATCGAAAGAGTGCGAATGCTTTCTCGCGTGGCATACGAACATGCGGTTAAAAAACACCGTGTTTGATTTTCAACGCGAGATAGTACAATATTGCCGTACCGATGTTGATATACTTCGACGAGCGTGCATGGCGTTTAGAAAAATTTTTATAGCTCGCGGTAATGTATGTCAGTTCGAGGAATGTAAAACTATTGTTTCAACGTGTATGACAGTTTTTCGGAAAAACTTCTTACAGCCGAATACGACAGGCGTCATTCCAGCGGGCAGATACAGAAAAGTGAACATATATTCGCGTAAAGCTCTACAGTGGTTGGTATGGAAGGAGCGCGAGCTCGGTCATCCTATAAACCACGCAGAGCGTGCGCACGAATACCGTACGATTGACGGCACACTCGTCGATGGTTATTATGAAGAAACATCGGAAACGGGAGTAACGTCGCGTCACGTGTTGCAATTCCACGGTTGCTTTTGGCACGGACGTGGTGCACGGACATGTACGTCGTGCTTTCCGATAAATCGCAATAGACCGCTTTCGTCGGCTGAGGAACGTAGAGATACGATTGACTCGCGATACGAGCGAACTCTCGTAATCTCGTGGCAACTTCGCCAGCAGGGGTACATGCTGACGGATAAGTGGGAGTGTAGCTTTGATTGAGAAATGCGGGATAATCGTGAGATGCGCGAATTTCTCGAGAGTCATTTGATGGTGAAAACAGCACCGCTCGATCCTCGCGACGCATTTTTTGGTGGACGCACGGAAAATATCGCGACTCTTTGCAAAATCACAGGTACGGAGAAAATACGCTACGTAGACGTATGTTCGTTATACCCGTATGTATTGAAGACGGGTGCTTTCTTTATCGGTCATCCCGACATTTATATCGGCGATGAATGTTCAACTTTAATCGGTACGGCTCCGAATTATAATTTTGACACCGTCGAAGGTCTCGTACGCTGTACGATACTTCTTCCGCGCGATTTATTTCATCCGGTACTCCCGTATCGCGCGCACGGAAAATTATTATTCGCACTGTGTTGAGAGATACGCGTGATCCGGCACTGGCGACGTCGAAATCTTGAGATTATTAGGAAAGTAATTAGAGGAGAACTTGTCGTGGATATCGATTTATTCTTTACGAACGCTGAGAGACGACTGGACTGTCCGCAGACGGCAAGCCGTGAATTTTTTGACAAACAGGTATGAAGAGGGGGTTGACAAACAGTTTGAGAGATTTATAATATCTCATGTACAGATAAAGAGAGAGTGTACACAGAAATGTAGAGGACACATGATTCCTTTGTAATACGAACGCGAAGTCGGCGCGAAAACAACAAAAAGGTGCGCAAATAAGAACGCGGAGAACAGTATCCATAGAATTTAACTTGATAACATTTACAGACAATATTTGCTTGACGTTCGAATTTACCGTTCGTGACTTTACTAAATTTTCGAAGCAAATATTACTAAACATGACGATACACCGTGATCTTAAAATGGATATAATTTTATTACATTATTGTGTCGAAACATTCCGCCCGCCTTGTCTACTCGGAGTAGACAAAGTATCGAATTAAGATATACGAGCGGTTAGCGCAGAGTATTGGTTTAGTCTATTGAGTTTCGATCGGCAGCAAACACAATTTCACTATAGGTCTCTTAACACTTGAGGTAGCTGTTTTCACTGTGGCGACTCGAATAAGTCCGTCGACTCCAGGGTGCACGTCAGTAATGCGTGCGAGAGGCCACTTAGTTGGAGGAAATCGTTCGTCCTTGATTAGAACGAGAGCGCCTTTTCGAAAGGCATCTTGAGGTCGATATTGTTTCGAGGTAGTCTGTAGCTGCTGTAAATATTCTGACGACCATCGTTGCCAGAATGATTCCTTCATACACTGCAATAGTTGCCAACGTGACAACCGGTTTTGAGGTACCTCTTGAAGCGAAGGTTCCGGCACGGTAGCGAGAGTGGACCCGACGAGAAAGTGCCCAGGCGTGAGAGCGGTAGAGTCCGACGGATCATCTGAGAGTGCAGTGAGCGGGCGAGAGTTCAGAATCGCCTCGATTTGCACCAAGAGCGTTGTCAGTTCTTCATAGGTGAGGCGAGCGTCGCCGAGAACTCGCCGCAAGTGAAATTTGACGGATTTCACCCCAGCTTCCCATTTTCCTCCAAAATGGGGGGCGGAGGGTGGATTAAAACTCCACTTTACTCCGTCATTTGCGAGAATGTTAGCGATGTGAGCCCACTCGCGAGAAGATGCCGTGAACATCCGTTTGAGTTCTGCGTCGGCACCGATCAAATTCGTGCCACAATCACTAGTCAAAGTAGAGCATATGCCTCGCCGTCCGGTAAATCGCCTGAACGCCGCCAGAAAGCCGTCCGTAGAATAGTCAGTCGCGACTTCCAGATGTATCGCAGACGTACTGAAACAAACGAAAATGATGAAATATCCCTTGTACGTTCTGCAGCCTCGTCCGCGAAAAGTTTTGAGAGTCAGTGGCCCGGCATAATCGACGCCAGAGTTGAAGAACGGTCGGCGCGGAACGACTCGTGATGCTGGAAGCTGTCCTACAGCTTGTTGACCAGTAGTAGCACGATGACGAGCACAAATCACGCACTTGTGGATGAATGCTCGGATAGGAACGCGACCGCCGATTATCCAAAACCTTTGACGAATCGATGATAACGTTAACTGAGGTCCGCCGTGGAGAGTCTTTCGATGATGATGATCCATCACGAGAATGGATAATCGACATTGTCGAGGTAAGATCAGAGGATGTTTTTCTTCTGGATCTAGTTGTGACCGGAATAAACGTCCGCGTAAACGCAAAAGTCCTTCGTTGTCGAGGAATGGCGTTAGACGATAGAGAGAGCTCGAGGTTGAGAGTGATCGTTGGCTCTTCAAGGTTTTGATTTCGGAGGAGAAGTAAATTTGCTGCGTGAGTTTAACCCACAGCATTAGCGCTGATTCTAACTCTTCGACGGTGAGAGGCTCGTGAGATGAGCGTGATGCGACAGATTTCCGAAAGAGTTGAAGAGCACGCTGGACCCAGGCGGTAGTTCTGATGAGGGTCGTCAGCGATGAGTATCGATCGAGCATCGAAAGTTTATGTTCATGATGTTCCACTGCAGTTGTACACTGCGGAGGCCGTTCTTCGAGGTTGTCCGTAGACTCGAGAATCGGAATTGAAGACGGCCAAGATGTCGAATGCGTATGTAACCAACGAGGACCGGTCCACCAGAGCTCGTTTTGTTGAAGACGTTGAGGAGTCACGCCTCGTGATGCTAGATCAGCGGGATTCTCCTTCCCGGAGACGTGATGCCATCTAGAATTTGAGAGCTCTTGAATAAAGGAGACACGATTCCGTACGAAGTCTTTCCACCGGGATGGATGACTTTTGATCCACGTAAGAGCGACCGTCGAATCGGTCCAGAGATGGGTTGGCGCGGTTTGTAGTTCAAGCACTTCGCGAATTTTGAGAACTTGACGCACGAGCAGCACTGCGGCTGAGAGTTCGAGACGCGGTATAGTCATTCGTTTGAGAGGGGCAACTTTAGTCTTTGAGCAAATGAGTTTTATTTGAGCGTCGTCGATGTCACTGAGAACGCGGAGATAAACGACCGCGGCGAGTGCACTTTGAGATGCGTCCGCGAAACCGTGCACTTCCACGGCGAGATTCGAAGAACTTGTTCCAAACCAACGCGAGATAGCGAGACGAGAGATGCATGTGAGTTGAGCGACGTAGCTTGTCCATCGTAACTTTAAATCTTCCGGGAGTTCGTCGTCCCAGTCGAGACGTATGGCCCACAGTTCTTGCATGAACAGCTTTGCGGTAACTGTGATAGGCGTAATCCATCCGAGTGGATCAAACATGCGTGCGATAAGCGATAGCACTGAGCGTTTTGTAACGCGATTTTTCGAGATCGTGAGCGACGGCGGAGAAAACACGAAACTGTCTGATTTGCGTTCCCAACGCACACCGAGAGTATGATGTATCGCACTGTCGTTGACCGAGAGCGTAGGAGATGTTTCGCGATCGCAGGCAGGGATATCGTCGAGCAGATTTGAGTCGTTAGCGATCCATTTTCGGAGCGTAAAGCCGCCCGCCGTGAGAGTGGTTCTTAGTTGCGAGATTTTTTCTTTCGCCTGAGAGATGCTTTCGTCGCCGGAGAAATATCATCGACGTATGTGTCGCGACGAAGAGTTTCGGAAGCGTGAGGGCGAGTCGAATCGTAATCGAGAGCGAGTTGCCGTAAACAGCGTAGCGCGAGATATGGAGCACACGCGAGGCCGTACGTTACGGTACACAATGCATATTCTTGAGGCCTTTCGTCGAGAGAGTCCCGCCAAAGAATTTTCTGTAACGGCCAATCATCCTCGTGCACGCGAATCTGCCGATACATTTTCTCGATATCGGCCGCGAACACGTATCGATGCCGTCGCCAACGGATGAGGATGTCCGCGAGATCCGTTTGTAGTTTCGGCCCGACAAGGAGATACTCATTTAACGACAAGCCGAGATTTGTTTTTTGCGATCCGTTAAACACGACGCGCAGTTTTGTTGTCGTGCTAGTTTCACGCGTAACACCGTGATGCGGTAGAAAAAACTCGCGAGATTGGGCGCGGTTTGATGCGACGGGACGCATGTGATCGAGAGAACGATACTCACGTAAAAAGTCGATATACTGGATTTTGAGCGATGGATTCGTTTCGAATCGTTTTTCCATGCGATACAACGCCTTGAGTGCGATAGAGCGAGAGTCACCAAATTCACTAACACTCTTCTTGAGAGGCAAGCGTACAACAAATCGTCCGTTGACGTCGCGAGAATGAGTCATGTTGAAATGTTCTTCGCACTGAGATTCTTCTGGAGACATTGAGATTTGAGAGGCAGGCGCGATTTCTTCTTGTGTCCAGAAGCGTTGAAGGAGCTCCAGGAGCTCAGAGTCGAGAGAGCACTGAAGACCGATGACTGAGTTGTTTTCCATGGCGTTGGTCTTCTGATTATCATTTGAGAGGGGCCCTGATAGCACCCATCCGAGAGTCGTTTCTTGAGCGATGGGTTCGCCGATATTTCCTCGACGAATACCGTCTTTGAGTATTTGAGCGTGCACCGTTACACTTAGTATGAGATCGATTTTTTCGGGCGTGGCGAAGTTTGGATCCGCGAGCTCAAGACCTTGTATGTGCGGCCACTGAGTATATTCGACACGCGCGGGAGGCAGATAGGACGTTAATTTCGGCAGTACGAGAGCATCGACTTCGAGAGAACTGTCTTTATGCACTTGAGATATCACTTTGAGACAGACGAGTCCGTTTGATATGCTTGAGCGATGAGCTCCGATGCCGAGAATCGGAATAGCCGCCGCTTGACGCGAGAGTTTTAATAATTGGGCGACCGATTCCGAGACAAACGAGACTTCCGATCCTTGATCGATAAGAGCGCGCACTTGATAGATATCTCCGGTTGATGACACTACGTTTACGAGAGCTGTGGCTAATAGAACCGGAGTGCGACGGATTATCCGCGATTGAGCGACGTGACTTGATGTCACGGAGTTTGAGATTTGCTCGGTATTCCGTAGAGGAGCAACAGATTCGTGTGGCGGAATACCTGCAGTATGAATTGCCGGCGGAGACGATGTGATTGCCTTGACGACAGGCGTCGACGAGTCTGAGTGTGCAGCTGATGCACCGATCGCTGCGTTACCGGCTTGATAATGTAACGTGGAGTGATGTTGCTTGTGGCAGAGACGACAGCGTTTTGTTGAGCGGCATGATTTTATCTGATGAGGCCCGAGACAATTAAAGCAGAGATTTTTCGAAATTATTACTTCCTTTCGCTGCATGGGTGTCTTTTCGAGATACTTTGGACACGAGGCAATGTAATGTCCCGATGAACACAACGCACACTTTTGATCAGTCACAGTAGCGGTATATGCCCGAGCGTGAGCTGGAGATCGAGGTGCACTTGCGTTTTGTTTCCGAGAATTCGTTGTTCGTTCGAAGGCTTCGAGAGTGAGAATACGACCGAGAAGAAATTTCTCGAAGTCGGCGAACGATGGTGGTTGCGAGGTGGCTCCGAGTGATTTTTCCCACTCCTTAACAGATTCGACATCTAGTTTGCGCACTGTCATAAAGATGAGAATGATGTCCCAGTGATGAACCGGGCAGCCCAATGTAGCGAGGGCTCCGATTGCTTCCTTCAATTCGCAGAGAAGGCGTTTCACTTCCGATGCACATTCGGATTTCGCCTTGCGAATCGAAAACAGAGCGGAGAGCTGAGCCTCTATCAGGATACGCTTGTTGTCGTAACGGTCAATAAGAGTATCCCATGCGCGATTGAATCCTTCACTTGATATCTCAACGCCTTTCAAGAGAGTAGCCGGTTCATCCGATAGGCTCATCTTTAAATAATGAAGCTTTTCGACTGCAGAGAGATCGGTATTCGCGTTGATCATAGAAGCAAAGAGATCTCGGAAATGATTCCACTGTGAATATTCGCCGTTGAATTTTGGTAAATCGATGCGAGGCAAACGTCGAGAATGTGATGCGGACGATGAGTTCATAGAAATTTCGGCTGATGTATTCTGTTGAGGTGGTGCAAAACTGTCGAGGATAGTGAGCATAGTGCCTTGCGCTTCGGCAAATTTCTCTTCGCATTGCTCGTAGATTTTATCGACAATGTAGTCCAGCTTCTTTAATTCTGACGATTTCAGCTTGTATAGATTTTCGTGTTGAGCCTGGAATTTTTCCCAATTTGCCTTTAAAATTGTTAGACGACTTTGCACCGCACCACGGGTGGTCTTCGAAGGACCGAGCTTTTGTAGGTTCTCGCAAGCGCGAGCGATGAGGCCGAAAAGTTCATGCTGGCGATCGAGAAGGGCTTCGAGAGTCATCCTGCCGATTATAGATGATGAGAAGTTCGAGATTCAATGCACACAATCACAGTTGCACCTTGAACGAGATTGATGTGTCACTTTTGATCGCGGTGAGAGATATTCAACACTATTGTCACGCGCGGTATAGAAAGATGCGAGTAGTTCTGAAAGATAGAGAGTCGATAAACGCGACGAATCACTTTCCGAGAGTTACGTAAATCTCGAGAATTTCGGTTAAAGGAGAGCGCGAAAATACGCCCGCGATCCGCGAATCCGGCTCGAAGGACCAAAAATGTTGAGAGATACGCGTGATCCGGCACTGGCGACGTCGAAATCTTGAGATTATTAGGAAAGTAATTAGAGGAGAACTTGTCGTGGATATCGATTTATTCTTTACGAACGCTGAGAGACGACTGGACTGTCCGCAGACGGCAAGCCGTGAATTTTTTGACAAACAGGTATGAAGAGGGGGTTGACAAACAGTTTGAGAGATTTATAATATCTCATGTACAGATAAAGAGAGAGTGTACACAGAAATGTAGAGGACACATGATTCCTTTGTAATACGAACGCGAAGTCGGCGCGAAAACAACAAAAAGGTGCGCAAATAAGAACGCGGAGAACAGTATCCATAGAATTTAACTTGATAACATTTACAGACAATATTTGCTTGACGTTCGAATTTACCGTTCGTGACTTTACTAAATTTTCGAAGCAAATATTACTAAACATGACGATACACCGTGATCTTAAAATGGATATAATTTTATTACATTATTGTGTCGAAACACACTGTGTCGTAGTTGTTGCAAAACATTTTCGCAAACGGAGTGTACGCACGAACCTAACGAACGCGAATTCGAGAGTACGTGGATGAGCTGCAAATTACGCAATGCCGTCAACAAAGGTTATCTTGTGACTAAAATAAATGAAGCAAATTGCAGTTGTCAGATAATCCTAATAAAATTCATTTAAAACGAGAAAATAAATACATAAACAATAAACATTTATGTGTAGATGATATTAATAAAATGTATTTTAAAAAGAGAAAATATATATATAAGAAATAAAACAATTATGCAAACGTTTTGGCTGACATTTCAAGCCTTCCTTCAGCGCAATACAAATATTTTAATTATAAATTAGAACGTGATATTAAACATTAAAAACGGTAGTTAACATAGTCAAGATAATAAATATGTGAAGTCAGTTATTGTCTCAATACATATGTTGTTGAACAAGTCATCGTGTATGACAACCATTGTTTCCGATACATACTTTGTTCGAGAAAACGCACCATGCAATCACCCATGAGAATAAATCAGGAAGTCTATTCTCATGGGTGATTGCATGGTACGTTTTCTCGAACAAAGTATGTATCGGAAACGATGGTTGTCATACACGATGACTTGTTCAACAACATATGTATTGAGACAATAACTGACTTCACATACTTATTATCTTAACTATGTTAACTACCGTCTTTAATGTTTAATATCACGTTCTAATTTATAATTAAAATATTTGTATTATATCGAGATTACTGATGGGGCGGAAGATTTCTGCGGAGCCTGTCAGGAGGGCAAATCCCAGCGGAAGGCGTTCAAGAAGACGCGTGTGCGTGCGGACACGAAGCCCGGCGAGGTCATACATTCAGATGTATGCGGGCCGATGTCAGTGGAATCGATCGGAGGATCTCGATTCATGGTCGTGTTCAAGGACGATGCGACAAACTTTCGGTACGCGTATTTTCTCAAACACAAGAACGAGGTACTAGAGAAGTTCAAGAAACTCGATCGGCTCATAAAGAACAAGCTTGGAAGAAACATACGAGTGTTACGATCGGACAACGGTCTCGAGTACAAGAATCAAGCATTCGATGAGTACACGGACAAGAGAGGCATCGAGCGAGAGTATACGGCCCCGTATACACCCGAACAGAACGGGAAAGTTGAACGGGACAATCGCACGCTAGTTGAGAGCGCGCGTACG